CCTATCTCCCTACACACCACCCCTTAGAGCCCCAAATCTCCCTATATCGTCCAATAGCTCCCCAAAACACCCCTACACCACCCTCACAGTCTCCTATAGCCCCATATCTCACTATATCCCTCCTACAACTCCCCTAGGACCCACCACAGCCCCATATGCCTCGATAGCTTCCCACAGACCCCATTAGCCACAGGCCCACCTTAGCCCCGGGTCTGGGGGCTGCAGGGGGTCCAGGGGGCACCGGGAGCAGCAGTGGAGGGGTTGGGGGAGCACAGCCCAGATGTTGGCAGCAGTGCTGTGACGGTGGGGGACCCAAATCCTTGATCCGTCCCAGATCCACAGCCAATACCACAGCTAAATCCCAAGCCCACGTGCCACTGGAGAGGGGAGAGCACTCTGCTAGTGTGGGAATTGACTTTTTCACTACAGTAACTATTTAGACATTTAGGATTTGACAGTGATGATGGGGAGAGACCAATTAGTAGTTTTGGTCCTGATAATAATCCAATTTAAGGAATGTCTTAGTCAATTGACTGCTTGGAAAAAATATGATCTACAGAGGGGATCGGGAGAGTACCCTGTTAAGATTTGGGTGAATGTGACAAGGAAAGAAAAACCTCAGACTGTCACATTCGATGCCTGTCATTCGATAGCCTGTGGGAGCCTATGTACTCAATGATGATAGAGTAATGAAAACAAAAACCTATGTCCTGAACTAGATATGAATAGGAGATGCCCTTGTAACGGGTGGAATAAGGTATGGTGGACAACTACCTACCAAGGCTGGACATACACACCTGGGATATTGGATGCCTCGTGTGCGCGTATATTGAAAGACCAGATCAGTATGTTTAAAGGGGTCGTCCAACCAGCCTGCCAAGCCTTACAATGTAATCCAGTGCCAATAACGATTGACAAGGCCGACAGTCTTGTTAACATCACTGTTGGCCTTGGAATAGACATAGGTGGAAAAGATCCAGTAATCAGATTCAGGAAAGCTGTATGGCATTCACTCCCTGATCCTACACAGAATGTGCAAGTAGGGAAAAGAGAGTGGAAAATCTCCGTCAAAACCCTGTGGTTGTAACAGTTGCAGAAATAAAGGATCTCAGACAAACGTTTGAAATTGAGACAGCGTATGGGGATGAGAATACCTAGGTAGAATGGATTAAGTATACTGTCCAAAGTCTCAACCATAGCAATTGCTATGCTTGTGCATTAGGACGGGAGCCCAGGTGGTACCCCTTCCACTGGGGTGGACCAAGGATCCCCAAGGGATGCGACGCATGGTTTCCCTGTACCAGAGAAAACGCCTGGGGAAACGAAGCCTGTAAATCGCTCTCTTTATTGTTCCCTCCAGTGCCTGAGGTGGATGCCAAAGTCCCTCCTGCATTCTCCACAGCCATAGGTAACCATACAGCTTGCCTCTCAAGGCAGGGTGGAAGGGCTACAGGCTTATAGGAAATTTCTCCCTATGCAGGGAGACTTTGAACGCTACAGAAGATTCAGCAGGGAACTATTCGAGATTGGGAATCTCTAGAGCGGATCCCTGGTGGTATTGTGGTGGGAAGATCTTACGGTCCACTCTCCCATCTAATTGGGGAGGTACCTGTGCGCTTGTTCAACTAGCTATATCATTCAAAACGGGGGTGTCACACACACCCCAAAGGAATAAAAGGGCTTCAGGGTCTCATTAGATGACACTATATAAATATATATATACATTCAACTGGAGTGCCTAGAGGTGTCCCTGATGAACTTAAGGTGAGAAATCAAATTGCTAATCCAGCTTTTGGCTGCTGCTAACAGATGCTTTACTACAGATTTGGACAGTCAGTACAGGCAGAGGGTCTCCTGTTTCTCCAAGTAACATCGTTAGCTACCCTATGTCTGCAATGCAATGTGAGACTGTTGGCTAGGACAGAAAACCACAAACTAACAAGGACACAACAGATTGGAGAAAGGAATCATAGCCAATAAGATAACCAGCCAAAGCCAGCCAAGTGTCCTCCAACCTGACCCAGGTCAAAGAGCACACAGTGAGAAAGACAACAGCCTTCATCAAAAAGACCACCAACCAACCTACAAGAGATATGACGCATGTGCAGATTATCACACTGGACAACCCTCCTTTTCCTACTCTATCTTAATAACGTATTTGCTTCCTTATGTGCGATGTTTTTTCCCATTCTTGAGATCTAGAAAATGTAAAAACATCTAATTTTCATGTGTGAAATTTTTCATTTCATTTCTAAATACAGGTTTTGTCACTCAGGAAAAGCCAAGTTATGAGTGGGTTTGCCTTTCAAAATAGAAAAGCATCTTCTGAAATTCATTTAAATACATCTCTGGGATTTTGTCAATTAGATAGCATTTAAGCTCACACTACAGAGAAGCAAGAGTGATGAACAGTAGCCAGGCATAAACTTGGGGTCTGTCTTTGATCAGTGGAATTGCCCTCTATGTTAAGAAGTGGATAGATTGTGAAGAGCTGTGTCTGAATAACAGCCATGACCAGATTAAGAGCTCTTAAAGAGCTCTTTAAGAACATCCTTCTGAGAGCAGAAGAAACTGAGCAGAGGAGGAGGCCGACTGGCATGGCTGAGCAAGTACCTGCAGCTTAAACAGAGGGAAATGTACAGAAAGGGTTGTGTAGCCTGGGAAGAAGATAGGGATGTTGTCTGCATGTGTAGAAATAAGATTAGGAAAGCTAAGGTAGAGCTGAACTTGGCAAGGGATGTGAAAAATAACAAGAACGGGTTCTACAGGTAAGTACACAGGAGGAGACAGATCAAGGAAAGTGTTCCCCCTCTGATAAATAAGAATGGAGAGCTGGCTTCCTCAGACATGGAAAAAGCTAAGCAGCTCAAAGAGTGCTTTGCCTCTGTCTTCACTGGTAGTCCGGCTCCTCCCCATGTCTGCCAGGACCCTGAAGATATAGGTATGGGTGAGAGAAGCAGATTCTGTCCCACTGTAACACTGTTGACTGCCCTATGCCTGCAGTGCAAGACGGCTGGCTGGGACAGTAAACCACAAATTAATGAAGAACCAATTGGAGGCCAGAGTCATAGCTGATAAGACGACGGGCCAAAGTCAGGTCAAAGAATACACAGTGAAGAAACAGCCTTCATCAGAAAGACCATCAAACAACCCCTGAGATACCATGCATGCATAAAAGAACTGAGATTCGAGGGTGGGGGGGAGGATGAATTCTGGGGACTCATCATAATAACCCAGCCTTTTCATGGACATGTAATTTAATGCATATATAAGCAGCTTGTTCTGAAGTACCTGCCTCTGGTATGCAGGCTTGGAGGGATTACCCCCCTGCATCCAGTGTGTGCGCAGCGCTGAGTAAACATACCTGCTTTATAACTATGTGGTTATAGAATGTGATTCCGCATGCCAATTTGGTGAGCCAGCCAGGAGGCTCTTTGCTGGGCCATGTGGCTCGTCGGCACAGGGGACGCTTCTGGCGCACCCTGAGAGATTTCAGAGAAGACTCCCTCGGCCGATACATCCACTGTGGAGCAGGGAGAGAGCCCCAGCTGCAGACCAGGCATGTTGAGAACAGGGAAGCTGTAAGTTAGAAGATGTTCCATGCAGGGTATGAAGGAGCGTACTCTCCTCTCTGAGGAATGTGAGCTCACAAGCAAGGTTGATGGCTAGGGTAGGAAGGCCCTGTTGGCCCATAGGTTTGAGGGATCCTATGGGAACTGATCGATCAGTGATTCGCCCTTAGTAGGGCGTTTGCAGCAAATGTCTGAACAGTTTTATTTTCTTCTTTTTCCTCTTCTTTTTTTTTTCCCTGGCCAGTCATAGGAACTACAGTAGTAATTGTAATCTCTCAACGCTTGTGCTGCAAAAAGCCTTCTTGCAGGATCTAGTTCCTTGTATAGGTAACTGTGTTAGTCATTGTCACTGTCTGTCTTTGTTAAGTGTTTGTTGTAAAAACATCACTTATGGAATTCCATTCCCTGTTTAAAATACTCTTGTCTTGTTAGGGGATGTTGGTTATGACGCTTGCCCAGGGAATTTGGTGTTCCCGTGCCCTGGGGAAGCAGGTGGACTGCATTACTCAGCAACACACAAGGGATTTTCACCCAAAATTCAAGATGGTCGGGATAGACAGCTGTTATGGGACAAAGGGTGTCAAAAGAAATGCCGAAAAAGACCATTCTGGGTTGTATTTTGGCTCACTGGAGAAACGTCACCGATCAGCCAGGGGTAATGTGGGAATGGGATGTTCTGCAGTTAGGACTAACAAGATGAGTCTTTTATGGTCTCTGCTGCCATCTGTTGTCCTTTATCGGAACTAGTAATTCTTTCTGGCATTCTCTTTATTCCAACAAAGGGGGGTCTTTATTAGTCCTCATCACTTTTCCTTTAGGTAAAGTTTCCATACTGATGCACGCTTAGTAGGTAGATTAAGTAATTAACAAGTACAAAGGCTGCAGCTTTTGTATTATAGGCAAAAAAGCATACTGAAAGGCTATTCTGTTTTGCCAAGAGGCTCTTAGTCTAAGAACAACAGACTGATCAAGTATCAAAGAAGCCAGGGCCTCTACACGAGGTCCAACTGTCTCACTCTTGGATCAAAAGGGATGTAACAGATACTCCCCTCCATCCTCCTTCCAAACTTATCTCTGTCTAAGTATGAGCAGGTGTCCAGAAAGCAAGGCAAATTAATTAATTAATTAATTAAAATTAATTAAAATTAATTAGCAATATGTTATGTATAATAATATATAAAACATTATATATTTATTATATTTATTATATATTATTAATAATATATACATATATTTATTTTGTTATATATTATATATTGTGTATTGTATATTATATATTACATATTATTGCATATTACGTATTATGTATTATATATATTATATAATTAGATATTATTATATATTTTATATATTATGCATATCATAAATATATATATTTATATAAATTAACAATTTATGTTTAGCCAGTATCTGTATATTCAGTTGAGTGTCAAGAAGACTGTGAACCTGAAATACCCAGCCAATGAGGAACCACGGGAGGAAGAAAGAAGCGTTGGGTCCCATCAATAATGGGACATAAATGATGTAATCCTTTTTTCTGAGCGCTATTGCAATTGTGAATAAAATCTGTTTTATCAGAGACGCTGTGCTGATGAATTCTTTGGATGTTTCCAGCAGGAACTGGGAACAGAAATGAAGTATCAGGACCAGTTTTTATATAACCAGTTTTTATATAACTGAGAGTTCTAATCATAAACTCTTTTGGTTTATGTTCATTGTTCCATAAACATAGGTATTTGTGGAAACTGAGGAACTGTATTGTTTGATTTGTGGGTTTGGAAGGGAATGGAACAAACTGGGTGGTATAAGAAAGTATAATTGTTAACGGTATGTTGAAGCATAATTGAGGGTATGTGAAAGCGTAATTGGGAATACAAATAGTGGAATAGTGTAAAAAGGCAGAAGGGTGAAAGGAAAAGTGAGTTTATCTGCACTGGCATGAGAGCGACCCCTGCAGAATGCTAGGAGAGTGAGAGTGAGCCAGGGCCAGAGACTGCTGCTGTAAACAGCCTTGCTCACAAAAGGGGATTGGGGCGCTGAAAGTGAGGATAGCCCTCAACTGCAGAGAGTTAAGGAAACCCAAAACCTCAGTGTTAGCACTGGAAGCCTCTGGAGGGGAGGAGGTTAAACTGAAACAATGTTAGTCGTTTCTGCAATAATTTGAGTTTGGAAAGTGAAAAAGGGTTGGGAAAGACACAAGCTGAGGAAGGCAAATCATGATGAGCGTGAGGCGTAACAGGGATGTTACAGGGACGGAGAGAGGTGAGTGATATGGGAAAGCTGATTGAGGAACAGAGGTAGTAAGGAAGGGCAGCAGCTGCTAGCATTGCTGTGCTAGAACAGGGCCCGAGCACCCAGAGATGCCCTTAGAAAGAGGTGGGGGGGGGGGCTGGAAGAGCCCAGGGAGGGCTCAGTTCCTGCTGGACCGAAAGCAGTGTGCAAACTGCAGGAAATGGGACAACGGTGGAGAAATCGTACCGAGCTGAGGGGGAGAGAACAGTCTCTGACCTTTTGGGATCAAGGAAATACAGGCTGGGAAAACAAGCAGGAACACATAAATTCTTGTACGTGAAGGAAGGCCCCGAGACACAGCACAGTTCTGTGCGCTGATGGGGACCAGCTTTACTGCTGCAGATTACGTATTAAAGCAGGAATAGATCCAGAGGTCTGGAAGAAAGGACTGGCCGTACGCACTACCCCACCCGTTTGGAAATAAGACCCAGCGCTGCAAGGGCCCTTCAATGCCGCACCACGAAGCACACCGCCCACCCGCCGCACCCGCGAGACCGTAGAGCCCGGATGGAGAGAGCGACCGGAAGAAGCCAACCGGAAACCGCACGCCTAGGCGGGGCGGGAGGACCGCGGCCTTCGAGATGTTGCCTAGAGCGGCTCCAACCATAGAGCTTCAGCCTGGAGCGGCCCCCCCGTGGAGCGAGCGGCGCATGCGCCTAGTTTTGCTCCGCTGTGTCGGTGAGGAGGCGTGTGGACTGCAGCATGGCTCCGGTGCTGAACCTCAACAACGAGGTGAGCGGGGCGCGGAGCGGCTGGGGACGAACAGGGCAGAGATGGGCCGTAGAGGAAAGGGAAGGGCAGGGCCGGCCCGGCTGTGAGGCGCTGCTGCGGTGCCTGTTCCCCCGCACCTTGCCACGGCTCAGCCGGGCCGGGCACGTTTCCCTGCAGGTGGAGAAGCTGAGCGTGGCGAATCGACGCCTCAGAGTCTCTCCTGTCTTCTCTTTTAGCGGGCTTAATATTGCTTTCATGCTTTATAAGAATGAGTAGCGTGCTGTATTGTGGTGTGCTTTGGTTGTGGCCAGAGTTACCTGCTGTGCACCTTTAAACATGGTAATTCTGCTGCATGTGTTGTACCAGTTCCAGCAGGCACGAGCACTGTGCCTGGGTAACTCATTAAAGTCGCTATTCATCATTTGCAAGAGAACTAGAATTGGTGCTTATTAATTGTTCTCAAATTTGTTAAAAGCAAGCCTTATATTCCAAGCACATAACAGCTCCGAGGGGGTGATCTGCAACTCAGGAACTTAGGGAGAGGTAACCTGTTCATCAGAAAATGTGTAGTTTAATGTTATATCAGATGCAGATATCTAGCTGATTACAAGCCTTTGGTTCTTGTGACTGCCAAATCAGGTCACATGTAAGCAGCTTCACACTGAAGCATGCTATGGGAATTCTAAATAAGAGCATTTCATTCCTTCCTGAAGCTAGGAGTTGGTTGTTAGCTTTGTAAGCTCTAACTGAACGACATCAGTTATTAAAGAGAGAAGCTCTTATGGGAAGGACTGGAGTAAGAAATGGTACTTGAATGAGGAGCGGCCAAACCATTTTTCAGGAAAATTATTTTAGTAGTTTGTGTAGAGAAGATGGACCGGTTTCAGTAAAGACACTGGTGATGGTTTTATTTCTCACAGCTCAGCTATCACCCTGTAGCAAGAAGAAACCAGAAGTTAGTTCTCTGAGAGATTCCTGAAGGGGTGAACTTGCATCAGAGCATTCCAGAGACAAAAAGTTAGGCACCGTATAAAACACATCAATTTAAGACATTCTATAGTGCTGACTGAAATCCGTGCCATCAGCCCATTAAGAGGGACAACACATCAAGCTGGTGAAGAGTAAGAGCCGCATCTTTCTGATGGAGACCTGCTGTCTATAGATCTTTTTTTTTTTTTTTTTTTCCATTTATACAACTTATCATAAAGAATCTCTAGTGTATTGTCTACTGCAGAAAGTGGTCATAAAATTTTATTCACCAGGATAATCCCCTATGTATTTAACTTCCTGGGAAGCTTTTTTGAGTTTGTCTTGCTGTTAAGAAATATTTATCTTTCTGTGATAAAATTGGGATGTAGCATGTGAGCATTAGTCAAGTAAATGTATTAGAACTAAATTTCTCTTTCATGCATTTCCAATTTGGTAAGGGGTAATATTAATATGTAAAAATCAGTTTTATACAGTGCACCCGTTAGTTTGTATCAAACAGACATAATGGCAATTCTAGCAGAGAGAAATTTAAGTTATATTTAAATGGCTAATAAAAATTGTTTCATCTTATCTGGATTTACAGTAGTACTCTAAGCACTTACAAACTTGCTTATGTTATACTTACATGTTTCTAATTTTAATTTTCATAATGGCAGGCTTCTGCTATTAATTAAGAAACTTGTCTATGAAATGGTAGATTCCTACAAGATTTTAGGATGGTAGAATTCAATTTGTTGTTAACCAACTAACTGGAAGATCAAATAGTTCAAGAATTGCATTTTTCAGGTAACATCAGTTGATACCATACATAATGTTGACTCTTATTTTCATTAATTCTTTTTGTATGTTTGTTACTGGTTTTTAAAGGAGCAAATAGTTATTAATCTCCAGAAACAACTTCTGCAGTGTAAGTGGATTAAACTGTTTTGGAATAATTAAAAGCTGTATAAATAAGATATATTTGTTTATTTTTGTATGAGAGGAATGAGCAGTCACTGTTGGAATAGGGTCAGTTTATTCAGAGACAGGAATATTCACTGTCATGGTGAAAACATCACAAAACAGAGAAAAACAAGTTTGTGCTCCTAATGGACAACACAGGATTTGTTGCCACTATTATCAAGAAGTAAGATGTGGAAGTGTCTTGGAATGACAACAATGCAGGTATTTGATTGGGTGATTATTTCCCTTAATCACCAGAGAATCTTGGAAGAAATTATATTAATATTATGAAAACTTTATCCAGGGAAATGAAACAAAAGACTGTAATGTGTCTCCTTTCTTTTTGACAGTCTTTGAGTTAATTTGGTAATTTCAGAGAATCACAGAATCACAGAATCGTAGGGGTTGGAAGGGACCTCCGGAGATCCTCGAGTCCAACCCCCCTGCCAAAGCAGGTTCCCTACACCAGGTCGCAAGTAGGTGTCCAGGTGGGTCCTGAATATCTCCAGAGAAGGAGACTCCACAACCTCCCTGGGCAGCCTGTTCCAGTGCTCCGTCACCCTCACCGTAAAGAAGTTCTTGCGCACATTTGTGTGGAACTTCCTATGCTCCAGTTTTCGGCCATTTCCCCTTGTCCTGTCTCCACACACTGCTGAAAACAGTCTGGCCTCACCACTCTGCCCCACACCTTAGATATTTATAGACCTGGATCAGGTCCCCTCTCAGTCTTCTTTTCTCAAGGCCTAAACAGACCCAGATCACTTAGCCTTTCTTCACAGTGGAGATGCTCCAGGCCCTTCACCATCTTTGTGGCCCTCAGCTGGACTCTTTCCAAGAGATCCCTGTCTTTTTTGTACTGGGGAGCCCAGAACTGGACACAGTACTCCAGATGAGGCCTTACCAGGGCAGAGTAGAGGGGGAGGATCACCTCCCTCGACCTGCTGGCCACGCTCTTTTTAATGCACCCCAGAATGCCATTGGCCTTTTTGGCCACAAGGGCACACTGCTGGCTCATGGCCAATCTGTCATCCACCAGGACACCCAGGTCCCTCTCTGCAGAGCTCCTCTCCAGCAGGTCATCCCCCAACCTGTACTGGTGCATGCAATTATTCCTCCCCAGATGTAAGACTCTATGCTTGTTTTTGTTAAGCCTCAGCTGGTTAATTTGGAGAGGAGATCTTGGAAGTCTTTTAAAAGGTATCATTTAGATAGAAAATAGTGCACCCATGGAACAGCAAATTCTCCCAGTTCTTCCAATCTAATGGCGAATGAAAATGAAAAAAATTTAAATGCGATTACTGTATAATTGCAGTGTGATTTCATGTGAGAAAATGTTTTTTTTGTAGTTGTTTTTTGTTTGTGTGTGTGATTCAGATATCCCATTTCTGTTTTTCTACTGCATCTTGAAATCTATGCCCAAGGCAGACTAGGAGGTAGAGAATTATAGAGAGAGTAAAGGTTGCAGAAAGTTAAAGTCAAGTCAAGTAAAGAAAGTAAAAATGTGAAGGAGTTCTTAAGAAGAGGAAAATAGCGTTCTTTTTACTGCTTTTCAGTTTCTGTTTGTTTAGAGGAAAAAAAACAAACATAAATTGAACAAGATGAAAAGATGAGTTACTTTTATGTATCAAATGTATATGGCTGTTTTTCTGCCATGCTTGTGTACATTTGGCTATAATTGCATTCTCATATTTAATTTTATAGGCATACACACTGAAGGAATCCTTAAAAATATTGCTGTGTGATGTATGTTTCTTATTTTAGAGAGGATTTCAAGGATTTTCAGGTATCACAGAATAGCTTGCTGTACTACAAAATGCATATGAACTAAACTTTCTGGAAGTGTTTGCTAGGTGGCAGCACATCATCAACAGCCATGGACAAAGGAAGCCTAAAGGGAGAAACCACATTTCATGTGAAGAATTATTTTGGTTGATCAAAAGTATACGGGACTATGAAGCAGAAGCTTGTGAATGGAAACCAAGCCAAGTTTACCTTTTTTCATTTCTTCACAGTCTGCAGATGCAGTTATTGCTCTGCTCTCCTTTTTTCTCTTCTTGGAATTCACTGTTGGTTACAACTACTTCACAGAAGTAAGCCTCAGAAATCACATGAGCTTATGTAAATGATCTCTGTGTGGATGCATTTAAAACGTGTAGTTTTAATACGCATGAGTGCTGTAAGGGCCAAAGTGGTGTGTTAATAAGTCACTGTATTTTGTGAAGTGTGTTTAAATCTTATCAGAATTCAGAGTTGTTCCTATGAGTCACATAAATTGACTTCTAAAGCTGTGCTATTTTAAACAGTGGAAGCTGATGCCTAGATAAATGCTTATCCTCTGTTTGAAGTGTTTCTGTTTTGCTTAAAGACAGGGTCAGTATAGAAGTCTATCTTGACAGTAATATGCATGCACACAAATCTTTTAGTCTACTAACTGAAGTGCTGATTAAAAAGATTCTGCGTGAAGAAACCCAATATTCAGACTCAAAGTGGTGAATTTCATTCAGCAGTTTTTTGGATCCCAGAACTTTGAGCTGTGATATTCTGTGTGGCAGCACTCAGGTTCTCATCCTTCTTTGTTTTACAGCTGTCAACTTCTGGGTTATCCAGGCTGGAACGTAATCTGGGTGTGTGGCTAGGCCTTCAGGCTGGTGTGCAGCAGAGTAGAGTCTTGCAGTGTAGTTGCAGGAAATAACTTTAGCATGTGAAGAAGGACTGAAATATGCTTTCTGAAGCATTTGTGAAATCTGTGAAATCTTGTGAAATCTGAAGATTTGTGCTAAATCTGTAGTTCCATGAAACTTGCATCGTTTATCACAGCACAATTGGAGGGAAGCAGAGTCCAGATATGGGTTCTTTTTGAAAGGTGCATAAAGCGTAAAATATTTATCCATGCTCGTCCTTAACAGATAAGGTATTTGTTATTGATGCAGTAAGTCTAGCATGCTGATATATAGTCACAGAACCATGGGTTCTGGAAGGGACCTCTAGAAATGATCAAGTAAGTCCAAGCCCCTGATAACACAGATTCCCTACAAAAGGTTGCCTAGGTCAGCGTCCAGCCATATCTTGAATATCTGCTTAGAAGGAGA